TAGTAATATAGTAATTATATAGTAATACTTTGAAAGCTTTGAAAAGATTAATTCTGTAATAAGAATGATATTATTTCTGTTGGTGATTGTAACATCAGCTATTTTGTTCTACTACTAGAAAGAGAGGCTGGAAAACACAGTAACTTAGGTAAGATAGAAGTTTATTGTTTCACTAAGTTAAAGTGATTGGAATGAGGTGGTCACATTATTCAAGGATTCAGGATCTTCCATCCCTAGTGAGTTGCATCCTTTTTCTAAGTCACTTCTTGATCCAAATTCTATCATGGTCAAATTCTAGGGGGGAAGCAAGAGAAAGAGGGAAAGTGAAAAAAAGCCCAAGCTGTCTGTTTGCCCCTTTTGGTGGTACCTTCTCTAGAATATTCACAACTATTTCTGCTTATATTCTTTGACATGAAACTCTATCACATAGCCATGGCTTACAGTAGGGGAGTCTGGGAAAAGTAATATTTTAAGAGTTTGCACTGCCACTCTCAATGCAGCTGGGGTCCTGCTAATGAGAAAGAATGCAGAGTGGATTTGAGGGGGGCAACTAGAAGTTTCTGTCTCAGTCATTATAAATATGATACATGGTTGTAAAAAAGCATTAAACAAATAACAGAAGTCTGTAAAAAATCAAAAGGGAAAACTTCCTGTGGCAAAGAGAATGCTACGTGTTCACCAAACTCTGTTTCATTTTCTTCCTGGATTATAGGAGACTACCTTCCCCAGCCTCTATGGCAGTTTTAGCTAGTTGACTGTGACCAGCAGTGATGTTTGCCAGACTTCGCCCCTAAAACTTTCCACAGGGTCTCCAACCTCCCTCTTCATAAGATGGCTAGCCAGGTGCAAAGAATGCAGTGGAGGATTTCAAGGCCAAAGAATATGGTAGAGCCATAGGATGGATGAAGTTTGAGTCCCTTAATGACTGCTTGGAACAGAGAACCCTCCCCCTTTCTGGCCGCTTGATAACCTACGCTGAATTTTGACATCAGCAAAATAAGCTTTTGTGGGTAAGCCTCTGAGATTTAGGGGTTGTTTATAGCACAAAACATCATGTACTGTAATTCTTACAGCCCTCAATAGTACACCAGCCTAGAGATAATCTTCATTAATTTATTGGTATTTATTGTTCCAATATTAATGCTTATATAAAAGTGGATTTTTAAAATATGTATTACATCTTATATGATACAGAGGCCAAAAAAAGCACTTCATCCCCAAATATCTTCATTCTTAAAATTATCACTAATGATATTTAAAATTGGCTTTCTAAGTTAAATCAGAAATCTAAATTTAAAGTTAACACAGGAGAATTTTAGTGAACAAAATCTGCAAAATGTATTTCAGACATACAAATAAAGACATGTAAATATTTAAAAATTAATTTTCCCCACATTGAATTGCCTGAGTGAAAAATACTAGCAAAATATAAGAAGAAGGAATTGCCAATTATTGATGAAGTTATGTGAAATGGATACTTTCCTGCCAAATCAGTGATTTTTCAGCCTCTAGTCAGAAATATCCGTGTTTACTTTCCTGAAGTGTTTAAAAGAAGAACTGAATAAAAGGAGAGACATACCATGTCCTGGAAACAGAAAAAAAATATATTATAAAGAAGCCATTCTCCCTAAAATAATGTACAGTTTTACTGCAATCCCAATCCAGATACTTAGTGAGCTATTTTAATGGAGTTTGACCAGCTGAGTTTTTTAAATTTACCTGCAGAGGTAAGATGCCAGAGAAGACAAGGAAAAGATACATAAGGAATATTTTAAACTAGATTTTTATTTTTTAATAAAGTGATTTGCTACCTCTTTTTATCAAGAAATCGCACACCCTAAAAATTTGAATGGAAATTAAACAGACACTTGTTGCCATTTCTCTTTAAAGTTCTTTCAAAATGAACATTTCTACCCTTAATACTTCAGCAGTTTAACTGGGCAGTTCTCCCCCCTCTGATTCAGGGAGAGGCCTTCTGTCTTTCCCATCACAGAGAGGGGGCGGAGCATTCTCTGAGAAGCTTGGATGTGAGCTGTGCCTGGCTGGTCTTGGGGGAGGGGCTGCATTTCACCAGGCTGCAGCTGACAAGAAGCTTCAAGGTAATGGCTGTCTTAAAGCTAGTTATTTTCTAGAGACTTCTCAGTGCCCTAAAGAGGAGAAAAATAGGGACAGTGGTCTTGGAGTGGTGGGAAGGGTGTGTGGTTTTCAGAGAATTGATGGCATTTTGAAAAAATTAATCTTTTGGAATTTTTGTATCTCTCAATGCTTTAAAACTCCACAGTGAGAGAAGGAGTGATCAGATTACAGCCTCTATATTAAGACTTTAGTGCAGCATGGCCATTCATGCTAATTTATTGACTTTACATTCCGTGTTTGTGTTTCTGAACATTCTGTTTGAATTTTTAAGCATTTATTAATTTACACAGAAAAATGACAGATACAAATATTTGACAGCATGGGAGAAAATACTCCTGTGAATTGACACATAGAGAGACTATGTATGTATCACCTGTACATGAGTATGGAAAGGGGAGCAAATATGTAGTTCAGTGAAGACACTTGGACATATATATGCATGTATATATGTGTGATTAGAAAAAATCTGGGAGAAAATAAACCCCCATATTAGTCAGCATTTCTGGGTGGTTAGTTTACTATTTTGATATTATCTTTTAGCCTGTTTCAGCATCTTTAGAGTAAATTTCCCCATGATTATTTTTATAATGAAATAAATGAAGCTGAAATAAAAATGAAGCTGAAACAACATACCCATTTTGTTTCAAACACGCAAACCTTCATAGACACACACACACATGCAAACATACCCCCCTTGTCTTTTGCCGATAGTGGAAATTTTCCTGGACCTGATCAAGTGCGTAGCCTGGTTGCTGTGTTGGCTACAGCCCTGCGTGTGTCCTCCTTGCAACTCATTCTTTCAGACCACAGGTATGACTGTGGTCGACAAGAACCAGTTTTCTATATATTTTAAGTTTAAGAGTGAGATGAAGAGAGGATTTGGTTTATTTCTATAAGCAGTTTTTAAAATATTTTATGGCATAGTGTAACCATACAATAGAATACTACATATCTGGAGACTAGAAACATGAACCTCTGCATATAGTGATTTGAAATGTCTGAGAAATAGTATAAAGTGAAAAAAGCAAATTATAGCATAGTATTTATCATATGATCTCACTTAAAAATAAATATGTATGTTAGTAAAACATATGTATGCTACTACAGTACATGCAACCAAATGTGGGATTTTGTATTTGCATAGTTGGAAAGACAAAGCTAGCTTTACTGCTCTCTATTTAAAATATTATTAATATATACTTATTCATTTACTTGTTTTACATCATCAGGGAAAATATTGAGATAAAATGTTGCAAATGTGGGAAAAACCTCATTTTAAGTAATTCATAAAAGGTCATGTGGAAAATGTTTATGTAGAATGATGTCCAAACTGTGCTCTTAATTGAGATCTGATGTTGATTTGAAATGATATGCATTCATATATACATGTAACAAAATTCTAGAAATATAGAAAATATTCATAGGGATTATTTGTATAGAGTTGTACTTTGATTTGCATGTATCTTTCTGCATCTTTTCAATTGTTAATAAGCTTCTGGATGTTTTTATAACCAGAAACATTGTAGTTGAAGACATTATGATCCCGTTATTGTCCTACACAAGAAAACCCTTGAATTTAGAATAGAAAATTCTAGAAGCCTTGGAAGGCTCCTGGCTGGCTAAATGTAGTTCCCACCCTTCTCTCATAAGAAGGATCTGATAGTGATTGAGGCCTGGCTTATACCTCCTGGGGAGGCTGCAGTTCTGGTTCTAGTCACAAGATGGCGCTTGCCAGGTTTCCTAAATTTTCTCCAGGCAACTATTTTTATGATGTAGGCAAAAAAAGCAATGAGACATATTTTTTATTAGTGGACTATGAGACAGCATGTAGAGCGTGATTAAAATTCTGTTGAAAAAATTATATGTGTAAAGAAGGAAAAATCCACATGGTGACTGATGTGAAGATTCAAACAAAATCTACTGTCTGGCTCATAGTAGATAGAAGGCGATTGTCACTTCCCTTCTCTCTTGTCCTCACCTCACACTTTTCCCGAGAGAGATGATTTCAGCATGAACCAAATAATATAAGTGTATCACAAAGAGAGAATTTAAAATAATAAGAACAAGAAGGAAAATAAACATGGTGTCTACATTACAGATGAGATTTCATCTCATTCCTGTGTTTCAGAATGGCACACCTGCTCAAGTTTTGGTAGGGAAGTTTATTTATGCCTTTTCCACTTAACTGGTTTCATTCCCTGTCTCCTTTTGGACAGCCTGTCTCCTTTTGGAGTGAGAATCAAGACAACTGGATCACAGGGCCAGACCTTCCACGATACACGTGACATTGGGTAAGGCTCTTCTCATTTCATGAAACATTTTACATTAAAAACATGTTGAAAACTTGGAGTATAATTTATTTTCCTTACTACTCTGCAGCCATAGCATTTTAAATTAAAAGCCACATTTAATAGTAAAATCATGTTAGGTTGAAAATTTGAGGTATAACTTATTTTGCTCCCTGTTCTATAGCCATAATATATTGTAATTAAAAGTCATAGCTTCTAGTTTGGGGAAAAAAAATCTCATGTGTTAAACCACTATGAAGAAATCATGCAAAGGGCTATTCAGATTTCTACCTGAGGTCCTAGCTTGCTGTCCGGCTCTCAAGAAATCGTTGATAACTATCCTTTCCAATAAGTGAACATAGCCGCCATTCTGAATCTCTGCCTTCTAAGCTCATGTTTTTAACAAGGTCATTGTGTTGTTGTCTGGGTCCAGGAGATATATACCCTGTTATCTTTGTCTGCCCTTGGGTGAACAGGGAAGCATTTATAGCTTAAAAATTATAAAGCTGTGTGTTTAGCTAGAACAGTGTTTCTCAAGGAGTTCTTCTTGGACAAGTAGCGTTAGAATCACTTGAGAACTTATTAGAAATACAAAATGTTGGGTCCTATCTAGACCTTCTGAATAAAACTCTCAGGATAGAGCCTAGAAATCTAGTTTTATTAAGCCCTCCAGATGATTCTGATGCATGCTAAGTTTAGAGTCCTACTGCCCTAGGTATAACATTAGGGGCACAAAATTACCAAAGTATCTAATAACATAAATAGAGTCCTTGACACACCATTGTAACCTCTCTCACCTCTGCTGGCATGTATACAAATTCACTTATTAATAATCATGTGCAGTAATAAGGGCAAGTTCTTGAATTTGAGGTATTATAAAACCACTTCTCCAATTCTTATCCTCCACCTTACATTATGCTACATTTTTCTCCTCCGTCTGATGCCCCACTGAGCGTTGTCCTTTCTTTTGTCTCTTCTCTATTTGCAATTGCTCACCTTCTACTTTGCCACAATAATTTTATTTGCTGATACTTTTCTTCTTCCCTATTTCAGTATCTTCCATATTGTCCCATTCAAACAACGTGTTCAAGCATCCTTGGGAATTTCAGCTGGAGGCGAACAGGCCACACAAGGTGTAAACCTTTGTAGTTTTAAGACAAAAGAGGCTTTGGTAAGAGTATTGTTTTTGGTAGGAACTGCCTTAGCAGTGACAAGAATAGCCAGACACCTCAATCTCTGATAATAACTTCTTGGTCTACAAATCTAAATCATAATGGATACCGAGTATGTCCTGTGCAATTGGAAAGACCAGTTATGGCCAGCAAAAGTTTTGTCCAGATCTGAGACTTCATCAAACAGTAAGAGAAAAAAGACATTTTCCCTAGAAGTTCAAATACTCTCACTAGATGATAAAATTCAAGTGGAAAGCACAGAAACAAAGATCCTAAACAAATCTCAGATTGAAGCCATTGCCTCCTCACTATCAGCACAGTCAGAGGTCGGTACTCCACCTAAAGAGGAAACAGCCTATGGAAGGTCACTAAAAGTGGCACTGGATATTCTGAGTGAGAGAGCAAATTTGAGTCAAGCAAGCAGTTCAGATGAAGAAGAGACCACTACACTGTCTCAAAATGTACCACAAAATCTTTCTGATTCACCACCTCCTAAAAAGTATCGAAAACACGAAGAAGACTTATTGAAGTGTCTTGAGGAAAGTGAAAATCCAACATCCCTGTTAGTATCTTCAGAGAATAATGATTCCTTGTATGATGATAAATCACAGGTACATGCAACCACTGATAGTATTCCGAGTGAAATGGAGACAAAGTCATCACAAAACTCCAGCTGGCACCAAACTTTTCCTTCACTTTCAAAAGATGATGATGATGAAAAGGAGAACAAGAAAAAGATTCACATCTCAACAGTTATGTCTTCTCATTCCACAATCAAAGAGGAGGGTGCATGTGTTAAAGATGAAAAGTTTGCTCCAACTTTGCCATCAGATATCTTGACTGTGCCCAAAGCTTTGAAAGAGGACGCACGGGACATCTGCCCAGAGACTCTAGCTATTTCCTCTGAATGCCCTACCATCTCAGAGAATATTGAAGATCCTGGAGAGGGTCCATCGAATCCATGCTCAGATACCAGCCAGAATCAACCTATTGTGGAATCAGAGATGGGTGCTGCGGCATCCCCCGGGCATTGTTCGTGGGAATGTCAGGTTTCACTTAGTGCCTCTAATCGTGTCCTGGATTACTCACTCCTTCTTGTGAATAATGAAAGAAATCTTCAGAGACTGGATTTTGAGGAACGTGGGGAAGAAGTTCAAGCTTCTGACAAGTCAGTGCATCTAAATCCTATTGACGCTTCTGTATTAGATGATAGTGAGGAAGATGAAGAACTTCCACGCTTTGTTTTTCATTATGAGCCACGTTCATTTGAAACAGGAATGATAGTCTGGTTTAAATATCAAAAATATCCCTTCTGGCCAGCAGTGGTAAAAAGCATCAGGCGAAAAGAGAAAAAAGCAAGTGTGCTTTTTGTTGAGGCAAACATGAATCCTGAAAAGAGAGGTATTAGAGTGCCTTTTAGAAGATTAAAGAAATTTGATTGTAAAGAGAAACAAGCACTAGTGGATAAAGCCAGAGAGGATTACAGCGAAAGTATTGACTGGTGCATCTCGCTGATTTGTGACTACAGAGTTAGAATAGGTTGTGGTTCTTTTGCAGGCTCTTTCCTTGAGTATTATGCTGCTGACATTAGTTACCCAATTAGGAAAGCAATCAAACAGGATACCTTCAGGAACTTATTTCCAAAGCTGCATAATGAAGATTCTGTGGAACCGATGGTTGTGACTTCCCAGACCAAGAAAATGTCCTTCCAGAAAATTCTCCCTGACCGAATGAAGGCTGCTCGGGACCGAGCCAACAAGAACCTAGTGGACTTCATTGTGAATGCAAGGGGAACAGAGAACCATCTTCTAGCCATTTTAAAAGGCACTAAAGGCTCCAGGTGGCTGAAAGCATTTTTGAATGCAAATAGGTTCACGCCCTGTATTGAAACATACTTTGAGGATGAAGATCAGTTGGATGAGGTGGTGAAATATTTACAAGAAATCTACAAACAAATAGATGAAAGAATGCTGACTCTGATAAGAGATGATAAAATAAAATTTATCCTAGAAGTTCTTCTGCCAGAAGCAATCATTTGTTCAATTTCTGCTGTTGATGGATTAGATTACAAGGCAGCCGAAGCGAAGTATCTAAAAGGGCCATCTCTAGGATACAGGGAAAGAGAATTATTCGATGCAAAAATCATATTCGAAAAGAGACGGAAACCATTAACAAATGAAGCTCGTTAAATCTCCTGAGAGTCCAAACCATAACAGGAAGCTTTCATAGATATTACTTTTGAAAGATCTCTGAGCATTTCTCTCTAACGCATAAATATTTTCCAGAAATGGGAGACTTTGGGTAATGTGTTCACTATTTTTTGTGTTCTAGGATCTGTATTACTACATATTCATTTCCTTTGCTTATGCTTCTTCAAAGTCAATTTTGTTAACATATTTCAGCAGTTCTACTTTCCTGTACATTTTTAGAATGCATAATTCCTGAATGAGTTTTAAGGGAAAGTACTATTTTGTTTTTTGACATTTTTGTGTCTATGCTGTATAGTTAAATAGAGTGTGCACAATCATTTTAATATTAAAATTGCACTGGTATTAGATATTACGCAAGATAATTAGAAAAAAAGTATAAAAAATGTCAATTATATATTTTTGCTTAATTTTTATAAAATATTGGGTTTTCTCTTAAGATAGTTTAATTATTTTTCCTGCCATGCCTATTTATTTTTGGAAAAAATATTTCTGAAGCGTAGAACCAAAGATAGAGATGCTTTGCTATATATTATAGCTAACTGCAGTTGCTTTTGCAAGAAAACAATCTAGAATTCAAAAATAAAGTAAAGGGATTACCTGCATGCAGTCTATATGTGTGTGAATAACAGCTCAGCATGCAGAAAATAATTTTGGCAGCCTTGAACAGGATTGTTCATTCTACACTCCCCTGAAATTCCGTTTATGGGAGTGTCTATTATTTAATAGCTGAATGGTTTCTTAAAACAGACAGGCTTTTGGCTGTCTTCATAACTAAGAGTGACTGTATCTTAATATAGCCGTCTGACTACATGTGGAAGGCAGCTAGAGTCATTGTATTCAAGGTCTGGCTACTCTAGATATGAGTCCAGGCTGACTGCTTAAGAGCCCATCTTGTTTGATATAAACTGTAGAAAATGCAAGCACTTTGTTCTGAGTCTTGTATCTCCAAATACATAGTCATTTGTTTCAAACCAAGCAATCTTTCATCTGGCTTTTTCGTAGAATAGTTCCAGTTAGTTCCAATAATATAAACGCCAACTGGTAAGTCATTCCAGAACTACTAGAAAGAGGAGATGGACCAGAATCTGTGAATTTGGAAATGGGTCACAGAGAAAGCCTCCATTTGGCCAGATATGACAATTATGCAAATGTGTTTAAAAATACACAATTAAAAGTTAAAGTCTGAAGCCAATGAAGTGTTTATTCTAACTTGAAACAAGACTTTAGTGAGAATAAATGTTTGTTAGGAGAGCTACTTTATTTTAAAAACTTGACATAAAATTAAATGCTAAAGGCTTAACATGAACCTGTCTGCATTTTTACTCTTAGAGTGAGACAACTATCACTCTTGGGCTTTTGTTATGTGTTCACATGGCCACATGTTTATGTGCAAGTTGCAAAAGTTCGATGTTTTGATTTTCAGTAAAACCATATCTTTCACCTTGGATGTTCACTTCATCATACTTCAGATTGTGCAGCTACATATAAATGGTGTTTCTGTAGATTTATATATATGTGTGTGTGTGTGTGTGTGTATATATATACACATACATATATATATATATATATATATATAATTTGTTTGGAATTTTTGCTTGTTGTAGTTGTCATCATTTTAGTGCTTGTTATACATTATCCTATCATTCTAAATAAATATTCACTTTCATGATTGATTTTGTAGTATTTTAAAAGAAAACCTTCCAAACTGTATAAGCTTCAGATTCCACAGAACCTTCTCTGGACCCTGCCCGACAAAGACCAAGACTCCTCGCACATACAGCGTGTACCAATCCACATAGCTTCCTCACGATCCTGAGAAGTTTTTGACAACATACCATTGCCACACTATATGTGTACCTTAAAACCCTGGGAAAACACACTGTATTTATTCTATAACATTGTGTGCCTTTGATTCCAATACATTACCCACCTTCAGTTTTCTCAGTGGAACCATCTCTATCTCTTGGTTCTACTATTTTCTTTACTACCTCATTCACTCATTCATATGAGTATGAGCCAGCAGAGCAAGCGATGTGTGATTTAAAGCTCTGCTCTAAGAACTTGAAATGCCATATTTAAAGTGACCCGGATGACAGGGTCAGATTTAAGGTGAACCAGATGACAGTCTAATTTCTAAAATGATTAGGATGCACTACTTCACCATAATATGAGAAGTATTTATTAACCTCATGGGCTAACTGCCTGTATTTGAAAATCAGAGCCTCAAGCTTCCCCGTATTTGTGAGTTCCTGAGTATCTGGTTTGGGGTAAAGGTAAATCTGTACCTCCTGTGCCAGTAAGCACTTGATTCTTCCTGGAATGTCATTTATATTGTGACATATATTGAAGTGAGGGAGATGTGCCTCAGACATGCATCTATTCTCTTTGAGTGAGTTGGCATTTGAAGTGTGGGAGTGGATGAATTTGACTTCCAACTCAGTGTGGATTCTGGGATCCCTTTCAGCCAGAGTGGTTGTTGAGGCAGGCTCTAAGATTGCCCTAATCTGGATCTCTAACCTAGATTTGTGTGTCTGATGGGGATGCCCAACTTGCCTCCGCCCTTTGGGTTAAGGAGACCCTCATCTCCTCTAGTCATAAAGCAGACTGCTGAATATCAGGCTCAGATTCTAATTGTAAGATTGACAGAGCTGCATGAAAACTGCATTCACAACATTTACAGGTCTCTATATCAATATATGTATCCTAATAAGGAAAGAGTAGAACTCTGAGACCTGGAAGAGCAATGAGTATAAGAATTTAGAATACCTACAAGCCCTTGAACCTCCAGCCCAGCAAAAGCAGCCCCCTAAGCCTTGCAATTGGAGAGCAGCCTCCCTGTTCCTAGAGACAAGGCAATAACCTCATCTAAAGCAGCTACCTCAAAAGACATTGCTTGTCTTACTCAACATTCAGCACTGATATTTTTCATTCCATTCAACTCATAAGGGTAAAGTATCATCACAGCATAAGGAGCAAAATACAATCTCTGTTTATGTGGAAAATCCAGAAGGAGCTATAGGAACTGGCTAATATGTACTAGCATGCACTGGGATAATATACGTTGGAATGGATTTTGAGGATGTTGAATTAGCAAGGGAAGGGGGCAGAATATTACTGACATGGGAGCATGCATCTATGAACTCAGGGTTCAATGAGCTGGAGCTGCCTTAATATGCTGCTCAGATGGCATCTTTAAGCTCGGACAACAGCCTACGGGAAATGAGATGGAAGTACTGGAATCTCCTTGCCAGAGTACTAAGGAATTGGTGAGAAGGTCAAAGAGTGAAGGTATTAGAAATGATTTATTGCGTGACACAAGAGGACCTATCTTTAAACTATTTTCCCTGGGAGGGCAAAGGAGACACTACTGTAATAAGGGCTGTGTTGGTAAGGGCAACACACATTTTTGAGAAGTTTAGTGTTGGCTCTCCTCTAGAAACTATGATTGGAAGTAAACTATGTTGCAGTGGAGATGACAGGATTCCAGAATGGCAGGCCCAGATGGTGGCACAAAACCTCAGGGGCAAGTTGGGCATCATTACCATAATGGGAAGCAAAGTCAGAGTGGAGTCAGGCTGTTTTGATTGACAGAAATCTATGGCAATGCCTTATAGATAGTATTCCAGGAATAGATATATGGACAGCTGACTGTAGTATTACTTCTTTCATACAAAAAGACAAACATGAGATTTGGCAAGCCAAAGTCTGATGTTAGCAGCTGCAGTGGAAAATAATGGTCGTCCACCAAGTTTTTGGATCTGCAGTGCAACTTGCCCTGCTACTCAGGTCATATGACTCAGCATATCCAATAGTGTTTACAGTATCTATGCTGGATAAGGAAGCACTATCTAGTCATTCTAAACCATAACATGGGAACTGCAACACAAAATCCTGAGGTTCTGAACAAAATCTGTACCTCCTGTGCCAGTAAACTACTTGCCGTTTAAAAAACAGCTCCTTGTATGCTATTGAGGCTTAGTAGATATGGAGTGCCTAACCAAGAGACAGCAAGTGACTATATGACAGGAGCTGCCCACCATAAGGTGTATATTATAAGATTCACGGTGTGATAAGGTTTGGCAGGCTCAAGAGCAATCCACCCTATGATGGAAATGCTACATTCAGGATCCAGCCTGAGACAGCACAAATAAATCATCAGATTGCACAAACCTCCAAGCCATTGACCATTGTTGCAATGACGCCCCTCATGGGGTAGTGGGTGATCTATGACCAACTAATGGAAGAGGAAATTATCCAGCGTGGTGCACAGATGTGTCAGCTTTAAATATTGATGGTAGCGGGCCGGCCCTGTGGCTTAGCGGTTAAGTGCGCGCGCTCTGATGCTGGCGGCCCGGGTTCGGATCCCGGGAGCGCCCTGAGGCACC